TCAGAACATGTGAACAAAATCTTTAATTTCTCATATTAAATAAAGGCCCCACAGTACTCGTACTTTATTGCTTTTCCAGTGGTTTAAAGTGCTTATATACTGACAACATTGAAGGCAACCTTGTAAGAGCTAATGATATTTTGTCAACTATTTCATGAGAGTTCAATTCTAAAATAAATAGATGTTGTAAGTATTTTATTACCACTTTTATACATTGTGTGTTACCATTTTAACACAAGGTAGTCCTGTGTCTGACTTCACCTCTGAGTGCTCTTTGAGACCCTCTCAATATGAAGGTAGACAGTGTTTGTACAAAGTTTGGTTCAAAATTAATTTGAACAAAGAGCCTTTTTCCTAATGTGAAAGTGGACAAAAAATTCACCCTATATCTTTAAAACCATGTCATTCATATGCTTGTCACTAGTCCAGGTAGGAAGTTGATTGGAGGTCAAAGTGTTACAGCCTTACAAATCCTCTAAGAGCATGTCAGACTGCCCCAAAATGCCACAGTACAGCCCAAGAGGCAGCTGCCAGTGTCTACATGAAAGTGGGGTCTCTTACTGTAGTTTCAATGGAAACACACATTGTAAAACTGCATTTGTGAGCTCTTTTTAATATATCCTCAGAGTTTAAACATCTGTGTATATTTTATATAGTACAGTAGATGTCCAAATTTTTGTGGCAACTTGGTTATTTCAAGTGGCTTTAGAACTTGTATATAGATATTTCCCTTAACATGTCCACGGTAAATAACTATTGATTGAATCTTTCACTTAGGTATTTTTTCCTGAATATCTTAGGTGCAAACAGTTTTGTCCATTAAAAGTAGATTCCATTTGGATGTGTTATGAGCTAGGTGATACTTTTGGAGGTAACAAAAGTGACTTGAAGAACTAAATCTGATTCTCTGTTATGGTTTGTGATTGAATCTGAAGGCAGTTCCCAAAAGGAATTTCATGTATTTTCTTTGAAGTCATTAAAACAATGTGGTATTCAGGAACTGCAAGCCAGATAGCATCTTCCCTGACTGCAGAAACCCCCATGTGCTTTTTCAATTCAGCATCATAGGAACCTAATTTTGTTGTATTGTCCAGATTTTCCACATCACCACTTTGTATACATGAGTAAATGTTTACATTCAAAGATATTATACAGGTGTTGATTATACTTGGCTCTAACGTAAGATTTATCTTTTTTTTTTTTAAGCCACCCACGGTTATTTCAGGAAATTCTTCTAGTAACAACGTGTCCTCTTCAGTAACTAGCGGCCTAACTGGATGGGCAGCTTTTGCAGCCAAAACGTCTTCAGCTGGTCCATCAACAGCAAAGTTGAGTTCCACAGCACAGAACAGTAGTGGAAAACCTGCTGCCTCGTCAGCTAGCCAGAAGCCGGTGGGGTTGACTAGTCTGGCAACGTCATCCAAAGGTGGGCTAGGTTCCAAACTAGGCTCTGGTAACAGCTCTTCCCCCTCCGTACCTCTAAAACCGCTTCCCCCTCTAACCTTAGGCAAGACTGGCCTGAGCCGCTCAGTTAGTTGTGATAATGTCAGCAAAGTGGGTCTTCCCAGCCCCAGCAGTTTAGTTCCTGGAGGCGGTGGGCAGTTGAGTGGGAATGGAAATAGTGGCACGTCAGGGCCCAGCGGAAGTGCCACAAGCAAAACCACCTCAGAAACCAGCAGCAGTCCCTCAGCATCTCTTAAAGGTCCAACGTCGCAAGAATCACAGCTCAATGCAATGAAGCGATTACAGATGGTCAAGAAGAAAGCTGCCCAAAAGAAACTCAAGAAGTAATGTGGCCAAATAGGTTTTTATATCATATTGCTCTAAAGAGTAAAAAATAAATAAATAAAATCCTTATTGGAACAAAAGATGTACTATACTGTAACTTAATAAAAATCATGATGATCAAATCTCTATTGTTTGTTACATTAAAGTGCTAATATTATTTAGCCAAACTTGGAACCATTTATTTCAGCCTGTTTAGCATTTTTATTTTAATGATTTCCATAATGTACAAAAATAGTGATTATGACTGGTACATGGTGAGAATGTTAGAAGATTGGTAGCATATGCAGATATAAAGAAATGGTTCTCTTGGCAAAATAGCCCAAGATTTAAAACTCCTGAAATAAGGAACCTTATGGGTGACAGGGAAGTCTCATTAGTGTTTTATAATATCCAGTTCTCTGCCTTATGGGAAATCTCTCCCTTTCTCTCCTGTGAACTCTAGCCATAATTCGATCCTATAGGAGGTGGTCCAAGTCTTCGCCTTGTAAGCTAATGAGTTAGTTGGCTATCAGTTTACATATATATTCCAACAAAGAATAGAATGCTTTTAGTATCAGATCAATAAATGTATTGTAGCAAAATGCAATGTCCTTTTTACAGTCAACAAACACCTCATCTTTTCCCAAAACTGAATCTTGTAATTTCCTGTATTAACTGAGTAGAATTGTTTTATCACCCTTGATGTGTGCTACAAAATCTAAACTCAAAGCATCTTCCTTTATCCCCAGGTTTCCTAACATCATTATTCTAAAATAAATTGATAAATAGTCTTTGTAAAGATAAAACTTGTTAAGCTTGGTCTTTTTTATGGAAAGATTTTAAACTACTCTGTTAAATATTGGCATTAATTTATTCATAAGTTAGAATCCAATACTGAAACAAACCCATTATTTGGAGGTGGAATAAATATCTATTTACATGCTTAAAAATCTGCCTGTAAATGTTTTTGTTTTGAGAAACACCTTTCTGTTGAATAGCATTGTTTTGGTATAAACTCCAAATCCTCTTTATAAAGAGTTCAAGAAAGTTTGCTGTCTATAGTTCCACTGCAGCGTTGACTTTAACAGAACAAGGTGGCACAGGCTTCCGTCTCCAGCTGCTGCAGTCAGTGCGACTCCCTACCTTGAGGACATTAGAGAAATAATGCTTAGTACAGTTTGCACATTAGCATTTGAAGAGAAGATTTTTACCCCATCACAGAAAGTGTGCAGGCGTTCAGAGAAGCAATTGTTTGAGTTTTGTGGCATTTCTCGAAAATTTTAATGAGTTTAGGACTAATTCATCTTTCAGTAAATATGATTCTTTGTATAGGTAATTTGTGTGTGTGTGTGTGTAAAGTAAGGGGCTGAACTCGTTTTGGTATTTTTAAGATATATTTGATAATAGAATTTATCTCAAATAACTCTTAGGCCTTTATTTTTTTTCTCATCACAAAATATGCTACAAGAAGCAGTTATGAAAGTAGCAACAGTATGTTTTTATCTGACTATGTTTAACAAAACAAGTATTTCTTGCACCCAGGTAATGTGAGGGGGAGAAATCTTGTTTTTTCTTGAATAGCACTGAAATCCGCAGCTAGAGAGCTGTCGTCTCAGTGATTGAGTGGACAGATGAGTAGGCATCTTAGTTTTCTAGTTTTCTTAGTTTTCTGTTGTGATAAAGTGTGGTTCAGGGCACCATCTGTGGGAGGCCAGCTCCCACCTTTTAAAGGGTTCCTATGAGGAGGAGAGAGGAATAAGAAACTTGTAGATAGAAAGACAGCAGAGAGGAGACAGACACACAGGATAGCTTCAGGAGGACCAGGATCAAAATCCACCGGCTCCTTCTGTCTCTTCCAAAGGGCTTTTTATAACAATGTCAAAAGGCCGGGCAAAAGACCTTCCCCTTGCTAGATCAAAGCAAATGCAACAGCCAGTGCAGACCCTTCCAAACACCTGGTAACCACGACTGTGGTCCAATCATTCCCTGTGCAGCCCTGCTGGGTAAAGCAAGCTCAGATCTCACTAGCAAACCTCTGTGGGTCTCCACAATAAAGTATCTGACAGAAGCAGAAAGGAGAAAGGGTTTATTTGGGGTCACAGTCTCCAAGGGCTAGAATCCATCATGATGCTGAAGGCATGGCGCAGCAGCATGGGGCCAGTTGGTCAGGTTGTCTCAGCAGACAGAAAACAGTCGCAGGAAGCAGAGTGAGGTCACAAAACCTCAAAATCCTCCCCCAGTAACATGTGAGTCTCAATCTCCTATAGACCCCGCAGCTTTCCAAAAAGCACCACCAGATGGCAACAAAAAGACCAAACACTTGAGCTGGTGGGGAGAGTGCGCTTTCAAACCACAGCAGCAAGTGTTCTTGTAAGCTGTCAGGGGTGACAAATCAAACTGCATTTTGGTCCAGATCCTTTTTCTGTTTTTCATATTATACTTTATGAGGTTAACCACAGAATTTAGTGACTTAAAAAAAAGAAATGGCACTGGAAGAATAATAGTCTTAAGATTGAATGACTTCAACCTTTTTTGTTAGTTTTCTACTTTATGCTAATTTTGTTGTTGTTGTTTGTTTTTTGAGACAGGGTTTCTCCGTGTAGCTTTCCTGGATCTCACTCTGTAGACCAGGCTGGCCTCAAACTCACAGAGATCCATCAACCTCTATCTCTTGAGTGCTGGGGTTAAAGGTGTGTGCCACCACTGCCCAAACCACCCAGGTTTACTACTTTATAAGACATAGTTCAAATGAGATAAAAATGGAAGACAGTTAATACAAAAGACCCCTGGTTTATCATTCTTTAATTTTTTTTCAGTAGTGTAAATGTGATACACATTTGGTAGAATCTGCATTTCACATTGTCTTCCTGGGCTAGTCATAAACTGTATAATACTCTTCCATTTCTGGGCAGGGGCAGCAGATTGTAGCTTGCAGTAATTCATGTGACCATGCCAGCAAGCAACTGATAATCTCCATGTAGTGCCAACTTGGACTCTAATGGTTAACTAGGGCAGGATATTTTAAGCCCATGGTGAGTGTATCAGGATGTAAATCCACTATAAATTAAAGCACATCTGTATTTAAAAGTTAGATTATTCCAGTTCTTAACAAAGGTATGGTGGTGGTTTTATAATTACAAATTATAAATTGTTATGAACACAGATTTCACAGGAAACATCACTTTTAACAAAATTTATTATAAAAATCACAAGAAATTAGAAATGTAGTGGATACATTCAGATGCCTTAGAGGAGGTTTAAACAAAACAAAACTTATTTAGTAAGAATACATTCCCAGGATTTCTGACCAAGAGTATTTCATTGTCTTTTCTAAAATGGTGAGATATTTTTCAAAATGTTCTAATGTACCTGCTTTTAACAGTAGCTGCCTAAAGACATCTCAGCTTGAAATCCAGTAGCCCTGAGGAAAAGTTCTTACTGGAGTAGTTTTGTAGATTACATATCATTTAGTGATAAGTTTTTACATCTCTGTATATATATAGAGGGAAGCAACTATAAAATTAGACTTTTAGGAGTTGCAGCCTTTGAACAGGATCTATTCCTACAGAATTTCAAGTCCAGTGTCCGTCTAGTCAGCGAACTGTAATCACATCCTCATGACCATAATGTAAATGTATAAGCTTGTTCGGTCTGAGTTTTGTGAGGTCTGAATTCTGAATGTGAAGTCACTACTTAGCAATGCAGTGGGTATATTAGGAAGCTATAGTTACTACAAATGACTTACAGGGCTTTTATGTCTTAAGATTTTCTCCTTTTATTCATACAGCTGTGCGAGGTTAATGTGGTAGAAAAAAAATCCAAGAGGCAAATGAGAAAATCCAAGAGTTTTTAATTCCATGATTCAGTGTGAAACACTCATTTTTGTAAATCACCCAAACTATGTTCATCCCAAATAGCATCAGGCATTTAAAAAGCAATTTCTCAAAACCCGAATTATATTTTGGAATGATTTGGAATGTTTAACATCTGTCACCCATTGCTTTATTACTGTGACTAAGCGTGTGTCTCTCTCCCTTTGCCTCCACCCATCCTTCAAACTCAGGATATTTTTCTGAAGTATAAAGAATGTTCCAATAGTAGCTTTATGACTTTTTCATGATTCCACACCAATGATAATTTTATATTACTAGTTGTATATGTTATACTCTCTACACTTTATTACATGTACTAGTAGTTTTGAACATCTGCGTTTCAAAATAAAATATAAATAAGATGCATATATTTTTATTTTTTTAGAAAGAAAAATAGGTATAAAAGCTTCCTCTTCATCTTGGTAAAAATAGCTGCCCACTTCAGAGGATCCTATTCAGTACAATAGTAATTTTAAAAGAAATATAACAAACTGCATTAGCTTGTGTAATTGTAATTATGCTGATGCAACTAACAGTTTAATCTTTTAAACTGATTAAATATAAACATCCTATAAACTATCTTGGAAATTTATTTTTCTGAGGCCTAGTGAAATAATGTCTAATTTCAAAATTACAGTTTACTTGTTATTAAAGAAGTAGAAAATGAAGGCATTTGTAATTTTTCAGAGCTCACTTATAGAAATGTGCTCGTCATGATAGGAAAGTCGCAGTCACTGGCTTCATACTGGTTCTTTCTCTGGAGCTAAGTGAAGTATTGATTGTCCTGGTGTAGAGTGTTCAAAAGGCAGACAGGAAGTGTCAGTCCTGGGCACACACCAGTACTCAAAGCTCCTCCATCTAATCATCTGTTTCAGCCAGAAAGGCACATGTGTTTTATTTATACAATTCTTTATTTTTGTGTAAAATGCTGAAGCTCAGTGTTGCATACAGGTGTGCAGGTATGTGCTGCAGTATGTAAATTATGCCTCTTTGGACATTTTTGTGATATCCTTATGTAGCAACTCCTGATTCTTTTTGTTTAACTTTAGGCAAATAAATTTATGTTTTAAAATTGAACTCAAAGAGCAATTAAAAGAAAAAAATGAAGTCTCTATTATCTTTTAGAAAATATTTTGTTATCTTACTTAAAAAAGAAAACATTTTATGCAAAAGCAATGTCAGGAAAATTTTATAAAGCTATTTTAATGAATTTAGTAGTCCTATAAACTTTATTCATATAAGGGAAGAGGATATGATATTCAGTCAGCAACACTAGAAGAAATAGAACTCTTTATTTTGTTATAGATATTGCTGAGTAATAAATGTAACATATATATGTACATCAATTGGATCCAGTCTTTCAAAGTGAGAAATCTTAAAATGTGTCATTAGGATTTTATGGGCAATTAAAATCTTCCCTACTTATGAGTAACCACTAAAATCAAACAAAATTAGAAGTCTCACTGTTACATGATCCTAAACACGCTTTGTTTACGGCTAGTGGTCATCACAGTTTTAGTTCTCTGCATAAGGCTGCCCTCATTAGACACTGGCCAGGCACTGCACGGATTTGAAATGTGCTCAGACCCTCAAATCTACCAGAGTTCCTGATAAAGGCAGGTATTCAGTAATGCTGACCAAGTAAACACATGCCAGACATTTTGCTCTTCATAAACTTTTCTCTATACAGTTGTTACATCCAACTATTTTCCCCCTCTACTTCTGAGCGCTCCCCCTCACTCCTCTCATCCCTGTGTCTGTCCCACTTATCTATATTAACCCAATTACGTGTCTTGACTGAATGAATATGACTGAAATTTTGGAGGACACTTCTCTGAGCAGTACCCAAGTTAAAGCGCAATGCCCTGAGCGTGGTGTTACAGATAATACAATGCTCAGTGCCTTGTCTGAGCACAAACTGGCCACTAAAGTATTTACGTCTTGGCTCTGAAGTAGAAGGCACACTCCTCATACATCTCCAAATCAGTGAGTGATCTGAAAATGTTTCCCCATTAAAACTTCATCGGTAATCATGTACCACAGCTTTAAAACAATTACACTTTCAAACATGCTTAATCACAACAATAAAAGTACAAATAATAAATCTGGACACTTCATTTTTCTCTCCCAGGCTTGTGTGGAAGTCTTTGAAAGTTCTTAATTTTGAAAAGCTGTTAAATATTGAAATGTGGATCTGAGAGAAAAATGATTTCCTCCAGGTCCATTACTTACATCACTGTTTTGCACTTAGTGTATGGTGTAGTCATTAGGGACACCTAGGGACCTTGGAACCATGCTGCCCGTGTTTGACAAACCTCCATCACTTGCTAGCAATGTTTGCTTTTTATGTTGCACTAAATTATTATGTGTAAATCATTTAAAGCAATGTCTATCATGTAGCACACTTCTAGTAAGTTTTGATATTATCAATATATTATGTTTCCCTTGTGATTAAAAATGTATTAAAAATGGAGCCCCTTCTAATTGGCTGTTAATTATTTTACATGTAATTAGTTTATTCTGTGTTTATATGTATAATCTGTATTATACTCATCATGTATAAACTGCAGAATATATATTATGTGTGTATGTAAACATGTATGTGCAAATAAAAATATGTTTAAGACAAAGTACAGTAAAAGATATTACTATAAAGTGAAAAATCTTATTCTTAGCTCTACTCTTTGGTGATAATAAACAAAAATATATCTTTTCAAAAGATCTCTACCTTTAAATATGTAGCTGGAGCCTAGGCTGTTTACTCTGCTGTTTCTGTTGGTAATATCTCTATCAACAACTATTCTTTATACATCAATAAAACTGCCCTATTAGGAAGCAAAGTTTTCCTTAAACATGATACACTGTCAGTTTCCGGTTTGAAGTTTCAGTGTCTGTTTTATGAGGTAGTCAGTAAGCAGCTTGCCAGGAAATGACTGTCGTTTCATGCTGATTTTCTTAAGCATATGTCATCTTCCCGAGGTAGTTAGCTGGCACATACCCTTTCTGCCCTTGTGCTTCGGCTAGCCACCACTCTTTATTCCCACTCAGATCACAAAATCTGAGTATATGGACTCTCTGGTACTCCTGAAGGCTGAGTTCATGGTCACTCCGTGCCTGGAAAGCATGGACTGCATAGAAAATCTAGACAAGGAAAAAAAAAAGATGTTATTGGGACCAGAACCTAAAACTCTGGAGAAATTGAACAAGTTTCTACCCTTTGAGAAGTGATGCTAAGGAGCTCCTAGCTTTTGACGGTCACACAGTCCAGCTCTTCCGATGGATCTGGCAGGCCATGCCCTACCAAACCTGTGGTAGATAAGGGTGGAAATAGATACTCTTTTTCTATTGGGAGGAGCTGAGGTTGTGCATTTGATGGCAATTTGGCAGTTTCTACAAAATGCTTTTTATTGTTAATTCTTTGAATCAATCTCTAAAGAATCTCTTCCATAGATGGAAACATGGACAGACAATTTCTGTAGAACATGGACAGACAATTTCTGTAGAACGACATTTCTGTATGTAGAGTGAAAAGTGGGAGGGATGTAGAAATGTGTTGAAGATTTAGAGAAAATAAATTACAGACCCTCATAGTAAGTAAATTTGTAGTCATTAAAATAGCTTTTTATGAGAATAACAATATAGAAAATATTAATATTAAATATTTTAAAACTGTAAAGTGACAACCGGAAGATGGCTCAGTGGTTAAGAGTACATGAACTTTTGCAAAGGACCCAATCTAGGTCCCAGCATCCACTTGGGAGTTTCATGACCAGTTGCCAGAACTCCAGGTCCAGGGTATCTAGTGCTCTCTTCAGACTTGGAGGGCAACTGTACTCACACATACACATACCAACACACAGACACCCATGTATAAAATTAGATGAATAATGTGTGCCTAGAATTACTAAGTCATTTCTCTGAAGAATCCTTCACAATTACTAGATAAGTTGGAAGCCCACAAGTCAGTGTTTAAGTCATCTTCCAGTAAAATCAAAAGACCACTGATGAAAAGGTTTCCTTATGATAGAAAATTAAGCAATTGTCCCATAACATTTGTACATTCATTTAATCAAACTTTTCAAAAAATTATATCAGAAACCTTACAACTCAGCTAAAGCAATAATGAATACTGATAAGATAAAACAACAGAGCCACGAGTCACCATCACCACCAACAGGCTACACATGAACAGGACAGTGCCTTTGGAAGGAAGTGGTCTTCCATAAGGGACAAGGTAATAAAGAAGGCTAGTATGTCACATCCACAAAGGTGGATGCATGAAAAAGTGATAGGAAAAAAGGATAGAAAATTGAGGGCTAGTAGATGAAGGCTCTGTGAGAAATGAGCTGATGTCACTGAGCTGGAACAGTATAGAACAGTGTAGTGAGAGGGCCTGTTGTTACGTGAATCTTAACCCATCACTTACTTCAATAAAACTCTGATTCCATTGACTGGTACCTTAACAAGGAGCCCAGGGCATTATTCAAGGGAGGGAGCTATATTGCTAGGGTCAGAAGGTTTCCCCCACAATTCTATGGTAATAATGAGGGAAAACTTAGGAAGAAGTGAGTAGGTCTTAAAGACAGAAGAGCCGCCTTCTTGGATGAGATTAATTTTTTATAAAAGCAGGGCAAAACTATCATCCCTTCTAAGTGAAAATCCAGCCAAAAGGTGCTATCCACCTACAAGGCTGACTTCGTCAGACACCAAAAACAGTGCCTTGATCTCAGACTTCGGGTCTCTACAACAGTGAGGATTTTATTGTAGGTAGGCCATCCAGTATACGGTATGTTGTTAATGGCAATCTGAATGGCCCAAAGTACACCTCTCAACTGGCCATGTCTGCCATGCTGCAAAATAGTGTTCAAAAGTTTACTTGACCTAAAAGGTTTGGACATCATGCAGGAGATTGTGGTGCATGCATGAAGATAGATTGCTGGAAATGGATTACTTCATTTGGAAGTAAAGAAGAAAACAGAATGGAGGAGCAGTTCTTAATGAAATTTCAGGAGTGATAAATACCGTTTACAGAGCCTGTGGCAGTTTATGTCACATGGGCTGTATCCTCAACAACCCTCTCAGTTAAGACTACTTGGAGCCGGGCGGTGGTGGCGCACGCCTTTAATCCCAGCACTCGGGAGGCAGAGCCAGGCGGATCTCTGTGAGTTCGAGGCCAGCCTGGACTACCAAGTGAGTCCCAGGAAAGGCGCAAAGCTACACAGAGAAACCCTGTCTCGAAAAACCAAAAAAAAAAAAAAAAAAGACTACTTGGAAACATTCTTAATGACAAGGCTCCCCAGGGCTGCTAGGTCCCTTGTCTTGTAACTCCCAATCCTGTGCTTAGTCCATTTCTTTTAGGGTTTTAGGAATCAAACCCTTGTTCTAAGAAAGAGATACACAGTGTATTCTTGGAGAAAGGCTCCGAAGTCTCTCATCTGCAGTACTCTTCTACAGTTTTGAAAGTGACACTATTGAATAGGTCCACAAGATTAGTGTGGTTAATTTGGTTTGCAAAAGCTTCCAGGAGTGTGACGTGCTAAATTATAGTCCCAGAATAATCTATAAGAGCTGGAATCAGCAGTATGGTCATCTTTGAAATTTGAATCAATAATAAATATGCTTTCCCAGTGCAGGCATGGATTTTTCAGGATAGATTGGCTACTGTCGCATCCCTCAACACCTATGTAGTCTTTCACTTTGGCACAAATTTCCTCAAAGGGAAAATAAAATCTGATTAGATATATTTATTATTATAATATGTATTTTTTGTTGTAGCTTTTTTGTTTGTTTGTTTTTTGAGACAAAATCTCACTACGCAGTCATTGGCTTGCTTGGAATTCACTATGTAGACCAGGTTCACCTTGAATTCATAGAGATCTGTTTGCCTCTGCCTCTAGAGTGTTGGAATTAAAAGTGTGTGCCATCATGCCTGGCTTAAAATATATAGTTTAAACAAATATAAATTATCATGAAATCATAAAATTAAAATTTAAAATTATATAACACTTTTATATTATCATAGCCCAAATTTGTTTCAAATTGGCAGTTTCTAGTTCTTATATAACATGCTAAATAAAGGCGTACTTTACATACTGAAAATGGGACTAAGTCTGCTTTGAAAGAGAGAGTAGTGTCTCTGGTCTTCTAATTCTTTTTGTTTCCTTTGTTGTTAGATGAGAAATTAGAGGTTTTCAGTTTGTCATGAATTTAAGAGCTGAATGATTTCTGATTTTCAAATCTCAGTTTGCATTTGTCTAACTTTAAATGTGTGTATGTTTTTGTCCAGAAACATTCATTAAAATGTTATTTTTATTAATATGAATTATAATCATGTATTTCTTTTTTCCTTGTTATTTATTAAAATGTTTTACTGATTGCTCCTTTGCTCCTTGTAAGACTGTATTTCACTTTATATACGATACCCTCGCACCACAGACCAGCTCTCCACAGTATTTGATTTAAAATCACCTAGCTCATGACTCACACCCAGATTATTACCCGTAAGCATCATACGGTTCCCTGTGGCACCATTACCACCTCAGCAGTCTCTTAGTCTATATATTTTTACATTTCATTTTTATTTCTTAACTTCACTGCATTGTGCAATCTCATTTTATTGATTTTTATTCCAATTCTCCAACTATGTATTATCTCCCTGAGTGCATCAGAGAGATCTCCACTGATCTTGGAAGCTAAGCAGGATTGGGCCTGGTTAGTGCTTGGATGGGAGACCACAGAAGGACCAGAAAGCTCCCAGCCAGTGCGTCACATCCTCCAATTCTCCAACTATGAACAACAAAATTCATAACATTTTAATTTTCATTTCCAAAACTAAAAAGCTTTAAAACCAGCATTTACTATATTAGTTCCAAATCCAAAATAATTACACTGCATGAAAAATACTATTCTTTTCTCTCACCCTCTAGGAATCAAGCTTTTATTTTCTTCATTCAATGATTATATATATATATATATATATATATATATATATATATATATATATATAAAACAAGGAGGTTTTTATGAAGTAAGCTGGGGTTTAATAAAAAGGTTTTAATATGGATTTAAACATGGGGGCTAAGGAAAGACTGTTTCTTGGAGACTAAAGCACACCGGAGAGCCTAGGAGTGAATTTCACTAAGTCATTCTCCCTTTGTAGGCATCAGCAGTCATATAGGATTTGGGTGAGTTTGCAGCTGATATCACAAAAGGATAGCTAAGAAACAAAATCACACCACAGGTGCCTCCTGAGGAGCTCCCGACCTGGTTATAACTGAGATAACAAGGTAGGTGACAGGGACACTGGGAGGTAGGGTTATCTTCAGTGTAAACAAGTAGTTTTTATTAAAAAAAAAGTTTTAAAAGTAAACAAAAAAGGCCCTTAAGTGCTATAAATATCTTTATTCCTTTTCTCTCTCCATCCTGTCCTCCCTCTTTCCCCAAATGGTAATAAAAATGAATTGTATTTTTACAACCTATTTTGCCTTTCAGAATATTGTAAAACATTTTTCTATATCAAATATTCTCTTAATCTTCATTCAAATGGAGTACTTAAATATCTTAGGATCAGCCTGTCAAGTTGTTGATGAACTTTCAAAACAATGGCATATTCAACATCACTATCATAAGTAGTTATAAAATGGAAAGACAAAGACCAGGTCACAAGCTTGAAAAAATAACAAACTTGTCTAAAAATGTGCTTTTAATTGTACCTCCATGGAAAAGAGCACATGCAAAGAAGCACATTTTCAAAGTAATTGAGGAAACCCTCTGTGGTAATGCGAATGAAAATGGCCCACATAGGCTCATATGTTTGAATACTAGGTCCCTAGTTAGTGGAACTCTCTGGGAAGGACTAGGAGGTATGGTTTTGTTGGAGGAGGTGTGTTGTAAAAGCCCATGCCATTCCCAGTTAGTATGAACAGGGACTCCAGTAAGCTGCAAATAAACTCTTTCTCCTTCCATGGTATCTTATCACAGCAATTGAAAAGTCACTAAGATGTCCTCCAAAGCCATTCACAGCCCCCATAGGTCCTTGAGGTCCAGGGTAAAGATCAAATATGGAAGTCACAGAGCAGATACAGCAATAAACTTGTTGGGGGATATTTGTACACTGTGTGAAGATGTATCCACTGTGATTGGTTTCATAAAGAGCTGAATGGTCAATAGCTAGGCAGGAAGACAGGACTCTGGGAAGAAGAAAATCAGAGTCACCAGGAGACACAGAGAGGAAACAGGTGGTACAAGATGGAAGAGAGGTAATGCCACGTGATAGAACATAGATTAATATAAATGGGTTAATTTAAGTTAGAAGAGCTAGTTAGGAACAACCCTATGCTATAGGCAAAGCTTTATAATTAATAAAAAGTCTCTATGTCATTATTTGGGAGCTGGCTGGTGGAACAGAAAAAGACTCATTACATAAATTAGTCTTCAGCTGTCTGTATCTCAGTGTTTCTCAAAGCCTCAGAGATGCCCCTGAAATTCAGGTAGAAGCCAAGCCTTCCCATCCACCCGCCCTTCTCAGGGTTCACTTGAATCATCAAGTAGACTCCAGTACAGCCTAGAACTCCTGTAGTATCTGCTTCTGAAGTCTGGAGGATAACAGAAAGTGCTGCCACTGTAGGCATGAGCAGAGCAAGAAATAGTGGCATCAAGCAACCCCCCACACACACACACACACAAGCAGTGTAAGTTACAGCTGACTTCCTGATTTTTTTTCTAAAGTTTAAATAGCCATGCAGAAAATCGCTATTGGGTCTATCAGATATAAGATTCGACAAAGATCCAACTTACTGCCACTTGTGGTCGCTTATCTAGACCTCTGTGCTGTATCATTCTCTATGTCACCCATAAATATCAGGGGCTAAGTTTTCACAAGAAGCCTGAGAGCTGATGGGGTGGAAAGGCCAGCCTGCGGCAAACATGAAAATACAACCCCTTCTCCTTGTTTCCAGCGACGAAGAGCAACTGCATGGGTGGGGGGTGTCTGGAAACCACCAGCCCATATGCCTCTTCTTCTGACATGCTAAAGCATGAAAGGAATTGTTCCTTCCTGGCTCTTCTTTTTCTCTTTCCATTTTCTGGAGTTCCCCACAGAGATCACCTCTCTTTACAGTAATTGAACTGGGACATACTCTGTGCTTGAAATGGGGAGACCTTTAATTTGAATGACATCATCTTAATCTGAATGAAGTTATCAGAGATCCCGTGTGACCACTGATCCAAGATGGGCTTTCCAATCAATTTTATTAGTAACAATGCTAATATTTATCCAATGCTGTTTATCTATGTTAAATTGGCTTCCAAACTCAGAGGAAACAAAATAAATAAGATTTTTAGATAAGAATCTCTGATATATTTTCTATTTTGAGGAAGATAAAATTTCCTCTCTGCCCCTCCATTAAAGAAAACATTTAACATCCAATTTACCTGATCTGTACTGATAAGATCACTTGAGGAAGACTGTTTTGCTGTAGCAGCTAGTGGGAGCCAGCTTTATACTGTTGTTAGTCCAGCTGAAGGAATGGCTAACACCAAAGTCCTTGCAAAGTTAGGCTAGAATTAGAATCAGTATCCTTCTAGCTTTGTGATGCTGTGTTATTTACTATTCTATTGCTGTGAGTAGACACCATGACCAAAGCACTCAAAAAAGGGCAGCAGACAGGCCTGGTGAAGAAACAGTAGCTGAGAGCTTTCCATCCTGATCCTCATGCAGAAGGCAAAGAAAGAGGGAGGGGGAGGGGGAGGGGGGGGAGGGAGGGAGAGAGGGAGGGAGGGAGGGAGGGAAGGAGGAAGTGAGGGAGGGGGGAGGGAGGGAGGGAGGGGAATCTGACCCTGAGTATTGTGTGGGCCTTTGCATCTCAAAGCCCACCCCAGCAATGCACTTCCTCCAACCAGGCCACACCTCCTAATCCTTCTAATCCTTCTCACACAGTTTTACTAGCTGGGGACCAAGCATTCAAACATATGAACCTGTGTGAGCCATGCTCCATCAAACCACCAGAGGCACCATGCCAAACTTGGGCCTCAGATTCTCTAGGCTATTGAGGTAAGTAAAGAAAAGACTATGAGAATATTCAGTCAGGTCTAAAGATTTCACCGAATTGAAAAAAAAAAAAAGGAGTTAACATTATAACTTGCCTTTCAGAAGCTGTAAGCTGAGAGGGTTAGCAAATGACAAAGAACTTGTGCTTTGAAACTACAAGCTGGAAGAGTAATGAGAACATGCTGTGAATGTCAGGCAAATGAAGAGTCCATCATGCCTGGGAAGAAAGATTTGCAGATAAACATATCTGATAAAGAAATCACACAGAATTTACAAAGAACTCTCTCTCATAAGACATAAGAAGGTTTTAGGTTTGTAGCAATGAGATGGATGTGGTAAAGACAATAAAAGAATTTTAAGGTTGAAAAAAAAGTAGGCCAATATCTGAATAGAAGCCAGGGTGGTAAAGAACACAGGAGAAGACAGTCAGTAGCATCAGTCTTTAGATGAAATCCAACACCATCAAGAGACAACACTTTAAGCTCACTATGAGGGTTATAATATAAACTAGCATCGCCAAAGAAGAGCCAACAATCTTCATCCATTCCTGATAAAACGTAAAGTGTGAATAGGCACTCTGAAAAATGATTTGGCATGGCATTTCTTCTAAAAAGTAAAACATCAATTTACCATGTCACGATACAAACCCATTTCTGGATGTCTGTTTAAGAGAAGTGAAATCTACACAGACTCATACATTAATGTCCATAGTGACATTAGTCACAATAACATCAAAATAGACATTGCCAAATGTACATTAACTGGTGAATATTTAAACAAAATTTCATATCTACTTAAGAATACTATTAGGCAGTAAAAAACTACACACACACACACACACACACACACACACACACACACACACACATTTACAACAGGAATGAATATCAAACACATGCTGAAAGGAAAAAAGCCAGGTACAAAGCACCATATTCTGTTTCATCCATGTGAGATATACGGAAAAGATGGAATACAGAGATGCAAAATAGGTCAGTGATTTCCAGAAGCTGGGAAAAAGCAGGGAGTGCAAATGAATCCAATGGAGTTTGGGCATGAAACGAATGTTCTAAAATTGGTTTGTACAACTCTGTAATTACAACTAAAAGTCCCTGGATTTTACATTGAAATTAAGTGAATTCTATGGCATGTAAATAAGAGCTAAATAATGCTATTGGTGAAGGGCAGCATGTCAATCCCTGTAAAGATTTTCTATATACCCTTTGGCCATATTTTTATTAATATCCTTAAAAATGTATTTCTAAAAGCATACAGAAAGAGATGAAGGATGTTCCTGGAATTATTGTCTTACATTTTTTAAAAACAAGACATCTTAAATATCTTAAACTGGGTTAGTAGTTACGTATGACTTATTCTGTAAAATGGGTCTGACAGCATATGTTCTTAATTCTACCACTCAGGAGACTAAAGTGAAAAGACAGCCTGGGGTGTATCATGAGATTCTGACTCAAAACCAAAATTTTTTAAAGCTACTTCACAGAATTCTTTAAAGGAATAAATTCATTATATAGGTAGAGTTGTGTTTAACTGTATAAAAAGTAACACATAAGATATGCTTTATTTGTATATATGTTTTTATGTATGCATAAAATATATCTGAAAGACACACATGGGATGATTTCTTTGAGGAGTATCACTAAGGGGAAAGGAATAAAGACCTTACATTTAATTTATGGATATTGTTCCATTTTTTACTTCCTGAAAATAAAATGTACTACCCCAATGGAAAAGAAATTTAGGCTAATGGAAATTACTAAGTTAAAAAGGCAGAAAATTAGTTGGTCACTACTTGCAGATTAATAATTGAACATTCTGAAACTTTATGAGGTAGCAAAAATGAACCTTACATTCTAATTAGCTTACCATTTTGTGAAGGTGCCATGCCAGTAGTCTTTGCATGGGCACAATGAGAGAAAGGCAAGTCAGCAGTTGTTCATGTATAGAAGATGGTATTAATAAGAGATGAAGTGTCCAAGTCCTACTCAGCTCCATTCAGACATTGCTTCTAGAGCAGTGCTTCTTAACCTTCCTGATGCTACGACACTTTAACACAGTTCCTTATGTTGTGGTGACTCCCCAGCCATAAAATTATTTTCAATACTACTTCATAACTGTAATTTTGCTACTCTTATGAATTGTAATGTAAATGTCTGTGCTTTCTGGTGGTCTCCGTTGCAGCCCACAGATTGAGAACCACTGTTCTAGAGGATTTAGAGACAAGTTCCTACCTGATGTTGGTGACCACAGCTCAGCTGCCTTTCTCCAATGGTGGAGCATTAAAAACAAATTCCTGGCCGCCCTGAACACTTAGCAGTGGAGTAGTGACTGCTATGGTTTGTTGAATCTCTACTCCGTGTCAGGAGTCCAGCACACATATTATCTCTGGTCAAAACACCAACTCTGCAGTATAGGAAGTTTTTTGTTTTTGTTTTGAGGAAATGGGTTTAGATAATTAAATTCTTTGCTCAACAGTCCACAGATGGTATGTACTAATAGGGCTGGGTATTTTCGATGTCAAAACTGGCAGTTTCCCAGTAAGTATTTCAGCTCAACGTGAGCAGTTAGAGATTCTTTCATTTGAGTGGCCAAGTAATTTTTGCCTCAAGGCTTCAAGTCTTACCTGTTCGTCTACCTCTTGAGAATGATCAGCATCAGCACCATTTGTTGCAGACTTCCCACAAGTGCCACTAAGCGATGAGCTGCTGTCGCTTATGCTGCCGTCTTCAGGAGTGCTGGAGACACTGTCGCCAGCTGGCCGACAAGACACAAAGAGACTGATGTTCTCAAAATCCTCGTCGCAGAATCTGCCCTCAGCATCCGCCTTCTGCTCTTTCGCCGGGTTGTAGCGCTTTAGGAAGGAGGAATACACGTAGCCTTTGGCACCTGGTAGAAAAAAGAAAGCACCAGGATTAGGCGTAGACCTTCCCCAAACACGAAGAGAGACCTCTGGGAAAATCTCAACCTGAAAAGCAGTAATGTTTCTGTGGGAAAAGAAACTTACATCCTGTGTCAACAAACCACCTGCTTGTACTCCCCAGGGGATCTTTCTGTTCCAGGACGGCTACCAACTCTCCTTCTAGAAGATCGATGTCATGCTCCTGGGTGGCGTTACACTTGCGCTTGGCTCGGTAGAGTTCCTCTGCTCCGTACGTGGACAGAAGTTTGGAGCGGTGATCGTCAGTTTGATGTGGCACTTCTGGCTGGGAAAAGGAAGAAGTCCTGCTTCAGGTGGACACACAGTGAAATCCTCATTGAGTTTATAGAGATTTTCCTCCAGAGAATTATTTCTCTATACAAGTTTTACATCAATCTGGATATATTGCAAAGTCAGACTCTCACTATTCAGCTGAGATTTTCAGTTAAAAAATCTCGAGTAAGCACATGAGGGCAGTATTGTAGAAAAGAAAGAAAATTCAACCAGGGCTAAGAAGGCAGAGGCTCTGGGGCTGGCAAGATGGCTCAGAGGATAAAAGTACCGGTCTGATGACCTGGGTCCAATCACCAGAACCCACACAGTGGAAGGAGAGAACCAGTTTCCGTAAGTTATCCTCTGACCTCCAAATGTATTCCTGTCTGTTCTCTCTCTCTCTCTCTCTCTCTCTCTCTCTCTCTCTCTCTCTCTCTCT